CCTTCAAACTGACAGCTACCTGTAGCTGCCACTGCTACCATGACTTTGAGAGTCCAGGGGAGGTCTTTCCACTCAACAGGTCATAGCTTCTTCTGAGGAATTTAACTAGAGATCTGAATGCATAATTCAGGTGTTTCAGATTTTAACACCCTAGATATACCTTAGCAGACGCAATTTAACAGATGGGCACACAGGCTTTTAGTGGAAGCTCTAGCTTGTATCTGGGCTGTTGTGTGCCTTTGCATTGCCCAGGTTGTTGGAATATACAAACCCAGACACTGGAAATAAATTGCTGGTGTTACTACCCAGCGAACACAAACAGAAGAACGATGTCTGTGTTGCAGAGTGTATTGCTCTACATCCTTAGGATTGCTCCTGCAGCAGCTAAGAAGCTGCTAGTGCATCATCATCAGTGTGAAAGCCTGCAATTTGGGCTGTCACTGATAGAATTAGTTGTGTGCTCTAATATCATTCTCACTTTTTCTTCCTCCATAAATGTGGAATCTGTACAAGGAAAGATGTAGGGCACTGGTATAAGATTTTTCTCTGTTGTCGATCTCCTAGACATTGGTTTAGTCTTTACAACTACTAAAAACTTTTTCTACATCTGTGTCAAGAAATTAGTCACACTATTCTGAATTTTAGAGACTTCTGCCTTAGTCTGACAGAAGTTGTATTTTTTTGGTAAAACCCCTAATATATTTTTCTATTGGATAGCTGAGGTGTGATAAGTAAAATGTATCATAAGGGCAGTAGAAAAGGATAGAAAAACAAATGTCTGACAATGTTAACTGTAAGAAGAAAAAAAAAAAAAAAAAAGAAGTAAAAATTCCCTCATCTACCTTACAACAAAATGTCTTGAAGATAGTCATGGAGCAAATACTACCACCAAGAGACATTGTCCTGCCTGCCTGAAGATAGAAAACACAGACAGACATAGTGCTACAGGATTTATGGTTTCTGTAAATGTGTTTTAAATTACATTAGTATCTTATTTTCCTTGCTTCTTTATGCACTGAGGCTGAATATAGTCAGGGACATAACAGTCTGTTCACATTTCTGAGAATCTCAGATGAGCAACAGTTAAATACTTATCAGAATATTACATGACATTCAAACACTGGGGTGTTTTCCCAGGATTTGAATCAGTGCTTGTTTGTTTTCTGCATTCACAAAGCTGTCCTGGATGCTTCCACAGTGCTCTGTTAGAAAAGTCTAGCTCTTAACCTTATTTGTCAGCTGTGTTGAAGCAAACAACCAACCTTTCCTGAAATTATGAGCTAAATGAAAAGTGAACAGAATTAGAGATTATGCCAAAGGTCAAAAAGACATGAGAAAGTAAAATGCATTGGAAAAATCAACTGGAATGGGAATGCTGCAGTCCAGCTTTCCTGTAATGCTAGCCTGGAGCAAAATCAGAGGGAATAACTGCGTGAAAGACACTGGTGTTGAGTTTTTCATTTGGAGAGGGTTTTAAAGTCTGTTTTAATAGACTGTTTTGCATTTCCTGACTTTATCATAGACTGCAGTATCAGAGAGTATCAGAGAGCAGTAGTTGGGATTACTTAAATATTTCACTGAGTTTACTGTGTCAAAAGTATTGTTCTGCTGTACAAGCAAGAATAAAAAAGGGATAAAAGGGATATGATTTGTGAGATGAAGGTGAGAGAGAATTCCTTTTTTTTTATTTTTGATATTGTGTATATATAGTAGTAGAATGAAAAATCCTGTGTCCTAGTACAGAATCTACATGTCCTGAAACCACTAACTTAAAAAAAAAAACCTAAAACAAACCAACTAAAAACACCCTCAACCAATCAACCAGAATAATAAATAAAATTATACGGATCTGTTGAGAACTGTCAGTGTGTCCAGCTTGTGTGTATGCAGTGAATTCTTCAACCATGAAGAACAGTAGCTACACAGTAGGTGTGTTCACAAATATTCATAGCATTGCATGTTAGCTGAATTTGGATGGGGCCTTTGGAGGTCAAGAGGTTGACCTTGCTCAAAGCAGGGCTGGCTTTGCAGTTAGATCCACCTTTGAGTAAGTGCTGAGTGTTTCCCTGACTGGCAGCCTCTGGAGGCATGATCATCCTCACAGCTAAACTTCTTTGTATCAAATAGGAATTTCCCTTGATATTCATTGCCTCTTGTGGTTTTTTCTGAGTACTAGTCAGGGTTATTCTAGCTCTCTCTTCTCTGCATCTACTACTTAAGTGGTCAAAGACAGCAAGCTGTTCCCTCATTAGCCTTCTTCCAGCTAAATGAACTAAATTCCCTCAGGTTCTTCTTGTATGTCATACACTTGAGGACCCCACTTGTTTTGGTGAACCTTTGCTAACCTCATTCCAGTTTGTCATTGTTTTTCTTTATCAGAGATCTCACACTACTCCATTTTTTTCAGTGACTTGAGCTGAAATTTTTACTGAACTCTGAAACAGCTGGAAAAATTCACTGTATTTCCAACACATAAAGGGTGTATACTGTTGATATATTATCTGCCTGTAAGATTTCTAAACAGAAAAGAAACCTATTGATGGTAAGAGCTAAAAATATTCTACATACTGATTTGAAGATAAAGTCAGGAAACTGAATGAAAACATGTGGCTGGAGAAAAGTCATGTTGGTGGCAGGGCCACAGTCTGAAGTGGAGTCCATTCCAAGTTTTCAAGTTGCAGGTTGTACTCAGAAACACATCTATTATAAGAAGGTTGCATGGAGGAAAGTCTAAATTCTTCTCTATTTATAGGACTCCAAATCCTTGTAGGGGGATATAGTCATGTACATATGCTCACTTTCCACAATCATGCCTCCTTGGGTCTTTCACTAGTAAGATGCTCTACCTGTTCTTTGCCACTCTTGCATCTATACTGTGGCATTTCCATAGTGAAGGCTGTCAGGAAGCTTTTGTAGGTCTCTGAACTTATTTATAATCATCATTTATCTAAAATCATCAAAATTGTTGACTTAATTAATGCAATGTCCACTGTGAAAATTTGAGCAAAGAAAGAGCTGATGATCTCTTGAGATATGGTCCACCTGTAAACTTCTGAAAGTGAAATGAAATGCAAAACTGGAGAAAGTTTCAAGAATGTTGCTCAATTTTGTTGTAGCAAAAGGTCGATAGAGAGACTTTGTAAAATATGTAGAACTTCTAGAAGGATTATGTAGACATTAAGAAGATTTGCAAGTGGAATAATTCTCCAAAGAGTATGTTTTAGCTGTTGGGAATTGTAGCTCATATGATCATATCTGCCATACTCAAGCCTAAAACCTATCCACGTGGTGTCCTTAGGAATACTTGAAGGATGTGAATATCCTTGTACAGTATCTTCTGTGCAATTCAGTGATAAGTCTTCTGCCAGAAATCCCTTAAAAGAAAGGGTTCATATTAGGAATCTCTTCACTCAGGCTATTGTAAAACTACCACTTACACAAGTAACAAGCACTAGATACACAAGTGTCCTTTTAGATTTCAGCTGCTGACCAAGCAGTGTAGTGCAGTGCAGTGATGCTAGCTAGCTTCAGTCAGTCTTCCAGTGTACGATAAAGCACCTAGGCACCTTTGCACATTTAAAGCCCATCACATGTTGAGAACATGTCTGCTAGGAAAAAAATAACAAATGCAACATTGTGGTCATTATTGTGTTTCATAGCCAGAGTGTTACTGACTAAACAAGGTATTGAAAGTTCAAAATGTATAACTTTGATTTTCCAGAAAAATGCAAGTGCATGGCTGTATGTGTTAAACATAACAACAAGCCAATATGTGAGATGCCATTCAGAATATAATCAGTGTCATTTTCCCTGTCTATCTAAATTTAGTTGTCCAAGAAAACATGCAGTAAACAAATGCTTTCAGTTTTTATTTCATTCTTTGATCACTGAAGTGATGATGTAAACAGCTCTAGTAAATCATATTATTGTGAATAATGCAAACATCAAAATTTTCATTGTCATTTGTGGACTTTTAAGACCATTTGAATAAAGTTTTTGGAGAGTGATTTGCTCTGTCTTTTGCACCTATGAAAACTAAGGACCATATCCTATATGCGTCTTTATTTTGTTGATCCAGAAGAAATTAATTTTACAAGCTTGAATTCCTATATTGAGGAGGCATGGAGTCCTGCCATGTTTCTCATTAACACTTTCCACATGCCAGAAGCATGAATAAGTTTGGTATAAATACTGATAGAATATCCTGAACTGAGAAAGCATCTGAGCATGTGCTAGGGCTTTACTGAAGTCAGCAGTAGTTAAATACATGCTTAAGAGTTAATCAAGAAAATATTTGTCTTTGCCTAGCTGGGAAAACTTGGTAAAAGGACTAGATTATGCTTAACCCTTTGAGAGTATTTCTCTGTGGTATACTCTATGGTATAACACTTCTTGCTTTGTAGAAATAAGAGATGAGTTATAGCCTCAATGCCTCACACCCTCCTTTTATGGCATATATATATATCTTTAAAGGAAAAGTTATCCTCTTCAGATTTTAATGAACTTACCTATGGCTGAAACAACAAAATAAGGAAAGAAAACTGAAATTATATTTTTAACTTCAATTAATAAAAATGCCAATTACCTCCTTATTTTTCCTGTATTTTCAAAAATTTATTTTTATGTTAAAGAATATTCTATATAGAATACATAGAATAAGAATTATTATTATATATAGAATATATATAATAAGACTATAAAGAACAAATATTGCCTCTTCTATGAGTTTGTCATTAATGCACTTCTTTTATAGTCCACATTTCTAAGATAATAACAGTTCTCAAAATGTTAAGTATGAGTTTACATGAAGTCTGTTCAATAGGTTCTTTACATCTTGTGTTGAAGATGAAGTAATCTTCATTGCAAGTGTGAGATGTTTATCAAAAAGCGTTGCTTCTTGACTAGAATATTGTTTTGTTCTGACCAAATGCCTGCAAGTATGTACGTCTGCATGGGAAATGCAATGTCTTGGTTATAAATATTATTTTTCTCACCAACAGATATTTCCTGGACTGATTCTCTCAGACATTAAGCCTGCCAAAAGAATGAAGTTCAAGACAGTCTGCTATCTGCTTGTGCAGCTCATGCACTGTCGCAAGATGTTCAAAGCGGAGATCCCTTTCTCCAACGTCATGACGTGTGAGGATGATGATAAGGTATTCCATGTGGGCCAAGTGAATTCTTTGGGCATCAATTCCAGGACTGCATCAAGCAGACCATCTTTGAGAGCATAGGGGGTGATGTTACTAACTGATAAAGAAGTTTATGGTGTTCCTGCTGGAGCTAGAACCATCTAATTCCCACAGTAAAGACTAAATTTAGTTATAAAAGGCCTCAAATTTGGAGATGCTATTGGAGAAGCCAGCTTAGGTGTGCTATGTGGCTTCCATTAAGGGCTTTTTTCACAGGAACTAGAATTTCTGAGCCTGTTTCCATTCTTTTAAACAAATAATCTTTTGCATCTTTTGTCCATCCCCATCTGAAGCTGATGGTGGCAAATGGAAACCAACAAAATAATTTTGTTTCTCCAGATGGTTCTCTGAAATATGAAAGGCAACTGATTAACCAAAACCCCTCTTTGTCCATAATACAAATCTTAAACATAAAAGTCCCTAATACAAATATAAATTCCACTTTCTTGGATGCCAGGTAATTCCATAAGTCAAAATTGCCTTACATACTAGTGGCCTGGTTTGCTTCTTTTCTGTATACTAATCTACCTGTTAATTTATGGACAAAAACCATGAGAGGTGCTCATTCCATTTCCTTTGACAGCAGGTGGCAATATTACACAGGTCACTCCACCAGTGAGTGGTGGCATGTAAACATTGGAATCAGCAATTCAGCTTGACTGATTTCTTTACCTGTTTGGGTTTTTTTTCCATTTATTGAAGACTCAGTCTAAATCTTACTTTCAGAAAGCATTCAAACTTTCATATTTTATTTTGTATATGTGCTTGTGTTTCCTCTGCAGGAAAAGGGGAGAAAAGTAAATTAGTTCATTTAAAACACAGTTTCAGTGTAGACTTTCAGAAACTCCAGATTTGATTTTGAAATTGGCCATGTACAAAGCCTTCCAATTTGGATTTATTGTTATCTTTGAGTATTTTAAAAAATAGCCCACACATTCTTTGAACCATATGCAATACTTTACAATGTATATTCTTGTGTATGTGTATGTATAAATATGGTAATATACACAGAAAATCTCCTTGTGGATTTGTTAGTGATCTGATGATTTTTTTTTCATGCCAGAACATTAGCAGTAAAGTTCCACAATGCTATCAGTAATGGAAACAGTTGTTCTGGGCTTTTGTAACTTTTATGTACCACATCATGGATTTATATTATACTAATATAAATACACTGTGTTACAACATAGAGTTTTCAGTCCTCAAATCATGTAAAGTAAAACGAGTGAGGTCTTTACAGGCTTTGAGGCCAGTACATTTCTGAGAAACATAAATACTGGATCTTGATCATATGTATGACATGATATAATATACTGTGCAAAATAATAATAGAGATACAAATAAACGTAGAGGTAATAATTATATGTAAGAAGCAGCTATTTTGATTAATAATAGAAACTTTAACCCTGTTTCAAAATGGCAGAATAGATAACATAATTTATTCCATATATCAGAATAACACCCATATTGATCTACCCTCATTTCAGGTCTTAATGCAAAGAAACATCTATTTAAATGCTGTTTTTCTCCTCCCTGTTGTTATGCTCTAGGCTTAAATTTGAATTGCAAAAAATCCTTGAAGATGTATTTCTGCTGCAACTAATGCAATATATATGCTAACTAATTGTACTTTATTGAGAGCAAAATAGTCTATTTCTGACAATATTCCTAAAAGCACTCAATTTTCCTACAAATTATTGATACAAATGTTTCTTCACGAAAACAAATTTCTCTCTGTTTAGAAACACTGAAAATGGTGGTTTGGCTGGCAATTTAAGATCTCTAATCAATGTATGTACCTAAGATTAGTTTTCATGTTGAAACAATTAGTTCTTTACACCACAGACAATGTAATCTTGATCTGATAGCTTGAAGGAAAATGTAGGCTTATAATTGTTTACTGCTTGTGTAACCTCCTCTCTACATACAAAGTCAGCAAAGCAAGGCTTGAAAAGTTAGCTTTGCTAGGGTCCATTTTTCTTCACAAACAGAAACTAAGGTATCAGTCAGCAGATAACCTTTCTCACTATTCCTAAGGATTTAGATATAATATACATATAAATTTTGTAAGCTAATGAACTGCTGTAGTTGACAATTTGTTCACTGATGAGGTATTCCTAATAATTTCTTGTGAAATAAAAAAGGAAACTGCCGTTCCTGCAAGATTATTTAGATAGTGATAACCATCTTTTTTGCCACCTGGATTAAAAGGATTTGTTGTGGTATAGCCTCTAGAATGGGCTATTTAGCACCGAGTGTCTGAAGAGAGAAATTTTGTTTTCTTCTTTAACACCTTTCTGACAGACTCTACTAACTGTATCCTGAGTAGACTTATTATTTCATAATGTTTTGAACTGTCTTGAACTCTGCAGATGCAGGATAAAAAATATTCCTTTGACTTTACAGAAATAGCAGAAGTCGCTGAGTTTTGTTGTCAAATCTCTTCTGGGAAGTAGGCTTGATGCCTGTCCAGTCATAGAACAGATACGTTCTAAACCATAATGATTTAGATTTAAGTGCCCTCAACTGAAGGTTGCCACCAGTGTGGCTGAGATGCTGCTCACGGTCTCCTGAGCACTCTCTGTGAAAAATGAGACAGCTTATCTAAAATCCCTTTCAGATATGCTCACTGGAAAGGACTATGAGTAATCATTTTGTAGTTGTGCTATCTCAGCCGTGGAGGAGCCATTTAGGCACAGGTTAGTTCTGATAATTTGTTGGATGGCTCCATCTGGATCTTCAAGCGCACTTGAGGCATTACTCAAGAGGTCTTAACAAGAGAGACAGTTGGGTGAGCTAAAGATAGCAATATTTGAGATGTCAGACCCTCTTAGTCACACATGGTCATTGTCCAAGACTTCAAGGTAAACTATTGTTTTGAAATATGTATTGTCACCTAGACAGTAGGACTTGTGTTATGAAGACTCTGGTTACCTTGTCTTCAAGATGTCCAGAGCTCCATGTCTTCTGTCAAGAAAACAAAGAAAAATAAAACCATTTTGCAAGGTAAAGTCACCCTGACTGGGAACAAACTGATTATTTCCTCAGTGGCAGAGGAGTGTCAGGGCTGTATGTGGAAAGAATTTCTAGAGTTTTCTCATTGGTTTAAATGATATCATGATTTCAGGCAAGGAATTTTAAAAAGGTGATATTCACACTGAGATAAGAACTCTGTCTTTTGTAGTTGCTCTGTTTAATGAATTCCACATCCTCTCTGTGAGCTTGAAGTAATATGAACAGCAATGAAAAATCTCACTGCTAATAAAATCTGTGCTTCTTTCTTCATCCATATTATAGAGGAGAGCATTAAGGACAGCCTCTGAAAAACTCAGGAATCGCTCCTCTTTTTCTAACAATATTGTATACAACACTCCGGGAACTCGAGTGAACAGATACATCAGCCGCTTGATAGAGGCCCGGCAAACTGAGTCTGAGATGGCTGACTTGAACTTCATTACCCTGAAGTATAAGCAAATTGAGCGTGAAAATAAAGTAAGGGGGTTTAAATTTATTTTTACGGATTTCACTAACCATAAGCAAAGTGGCATTGGGATTTTTGTTTGGGCTTCATGCAATGTTTAAATTCTACTCACTATGTTTAAATACTTCACTGGACTGTCTCTCAGTTAAGAGGGTGACATAGTCTCTACCTCCTATGGAAACACTTGAAGGAGATAAAAAGAAAGACTGGTATTGTCCTACTTGTCAGGATCCTACTCTGTGTTATATATCCTATATTTTGGTATTTCTTTTGCCTCTCCAAACTGCCTGAGTCACTTGTAAAATGCAGTCTCATTGCAATGTGTCTGCCTACTCACTCCTCTGCTTTGGAGAGGTGTTAATGACAAGAAGATGCATAGGTAGCCTGATAAGCATTAATCCAGAAATTCTAGAAAATATTTTTAAAAACATTAAGTCTTTGGAAAAGGTTGCAATATTGCACCAGTGTGGCAGTACTGAAAGCAGGAAATTTACTCAGATGTACAAGCATGCATATCAGTTAACAATTGTTCCTACTTTGTAGGGTTGTGGTTTTTTTGTGAAATACAAATTAGTTGTATTTACAGCCTTTAGTTTGTGTGTTTGAAAAATCAAAAGTCATATGGTTTTGAATTCATTTGGCAGTAGCATTTATTTTTCCACTGTAAGTCACTATATAGTCTAAGTTTTCATGTCACTACTGTTTCAAGTTAGAGGGCTGTATTCTATATTGGATGCAAATTGGTTTTAAGCATAAATTTTGATTTCAAGTGTCCAAAGTATTTTATTACTTGGCTGTAACTTTTTTCTTTCAAAATAAAAAGCTTTCTGGTGTGAATTCTATTGAACTTTGGATCTTTCTGAGAAAATACTTTTGTGTTTCCACCCCTAGAAAGCTTCCTCTCATTAATACTGTAACTTAGTGGAATCAGGGACAGTAGATGCTCCAAAATGAGCCCATGTATCTCATCAGCAGCTGCCTCCAAGTCCAGCCACTAGTGTCCTGTCCTGGGCAGCTGAGGTGAGAGGAGTTCCTGAAAGCGGCACCAAAGGTGTTTGGCCTTTTATCGTGATGAGTAAATAGAGGGAGGACCACCCCCTTCTGGTTCAAAGTGGCTGGGTTTTTTTCCTTGAAAAGATAAACTTATATCTGAGCCTAAACCAGTTTTGATTAGTTACAGAGTGAAAGAGAAGTCTGTCAAGGAAAATCTTGTGTAGACTTCCCTCATCTGTTTTTTTCAGTGTGAATGAAGCCATCATGTTTGTAACTAAGTAGGGGCTTGTTTTATTTTAGGATACAGCTCTTTCTCACTGAGAATGGACAAGTGTGGGTGTCTGGGTATATATAAAATATTTATTGTCTTCATTTCTTCCTTTCTTTAACAGTACCACCAGCTTCAGGATGAGTACTTCACCAGTGCTGTAGTTCTCTCACTAATTCTAGCTGCCTTATTTGGCCTTGTCTACCTTCTAATAATACCACAGTAAGTTTCTATCTTTCACCATCATAACTCAAAGTGGCACATCCTCAGACATCCCGCACAAGTCAAAAGTTAAAGTCTTTGGAATGGGAATGGGCACCTAGGTCTGTATCTTCTCACACAGGAGATTCTCTGTTAGTACACCCCCAGTCCAATTGTTATCTCTTTTATTTGTCCACAGAAAACACTTTTCATTATCTTTTTTTTTTTCTTTTGTAATAGTATGCACTTAGAGGAAAAAAATACATTTCAGATTTTATTTAAACTTTCAGTGGTTATTTTAAACTTATTTAAAGCATTTCTGCATTACAAAGGTGTTACTGCAGCTTTTCTAAATGTGTTTGTGCTAGTTTGGATTAAATATTTCAGGTATTGATAGCTACATAGATAAAACAATACAGAGTTTAATGGTAACAAAGCATTGAAAGTACTCATCCATCTGCATTGAGGCCTGCATTTATAGCCTTCATTGAAGATTTTGGAGTCAACACTATCCCTACATAAACTGCCTAGTGCATATATTGGCTATGCACACATTACTTGCAGTCTGACCTTGACTGCGCTAAAGCAAACATAACCAAATTATGTGTTTGGAAGGTGTCCTATGCCTATTGTTGAGTGATTAGTTAGTTAGTGATTACCTCAGATTTTGTCAGTTCTATATGAATGCTTACAAAATTAAAAATAATTAGACCACTTTCAAATCTAGAGAATTGTGTGTAAAGTATAGAAATTATTAATAATAAACTTTTTCAGATTAGAATATCAAAACATTAAAAATAAAATTTATTCGCTTTTACTAATGATAAGGATTTCAATGGGAATAGAACTAGACACAGGATAATGCTTTTGAATATTCCATTTAAATTATGGTCTTTTCTATTCACCAATCCCCAGTTAGAATAATACTTCTATGTTCTATTATTTCTAGTTGAAAGACTGAAAAATACTTTATTCACTTTAATAAAATACAAATACTAATTTGTAATATAGTACCTTTCATCTAAAGAATTCAAAGTCACTGGCAAGAATCATCATTTAGATCATCATTTTCAGACTAATGACTGCTGACTAATTGGAGCATGATTAAGAAGTCTTTCAAGGTCTTCTTCAGTAAGCCACAGCTGTATTCATAGCTGTACATAGGAGTTTTGAACAAGGAGAAACAACATGTATCAGTGCAGTTGAAACTAGAATGAATTTCCAAGAATCATATAACGGCTTTTTGAAAAACCAGTGTCACTTAAAAACCGCTGGACAGAGATTTGGTTTAAGTAGTGATCTGACAGTCACACAAGCTCCAGAAGAATGTCACCACAGAAAGTCATGAAGATGGACTGGGTTAGTTAAAAAAGCCACCCACTGAATGCACCTAAGTTCTTTCTTCCAGTGTCTGAGTGGTGGCTTCATACAGCCAAATTACTATTCTTCTTGGGCTCTTCCCTTGCTGTGACACAGATGTAAACATGAGCTAAATTAAAACTTTGGAAGTATAGGAAAATACCCCCTCTTTCCAGAGTTTGGAGCTTTAAGATTCTATTTAGATTGCCAAAGTAGTTACAGGTATGGCAAGAGAATGCAAAAGCCAAGACAAGGTTTGCAATATTTTACCCTAATGGGAGAAGTGATATATCACAGTATTTCAAGGAGGAGGTTGATCATCTAGACAAGAAAATGTCATAGGAAAGTCAATTACTGCATAAATATACAGAAATCAATGGCATTGCCATTCTCACAATTCCTATCATCATTTGAGCAAAACAGTTTCTCAACTAAAGACACATTTTATATTCCCAGATGGAGGTGCTCAAAGTAAGGCTATATTCCTGTCAACCTAAGCTGTCCAATTATGGAGGCACATACACAGCATAACTGCTAAATGTCCTGATTATGAGCCCTTCTAATGCCTGATTCTGTGTTTATTTTAAAAAAACCCAAACAACAATGTAGCCCTTTTTAGATGCCAGCCCAAATGTCTGTCAGGGTCCCACTCAGCACCACTGTCAGTTGTCAGCTATAGCTGCATTATAAGATGTTGTTGCAGATATGTCCCTTGCATTCTTTTCTAGCATGCTACCGTCCTGAATACAAGTGAATTCTCTAAAGGCATGAGATCCTGCCTTGATTAATACTTGTATTCAGAATCCACACTAACAGCACCCAGAGTCACCTTCCCATTCTGGGTACATGTACTACACCACTACTCCCTGTTCTTATATCAGCAGGAACTGTTACATGAATTTGAAATCAAAGTCAAATAGTTAGAAACTCTACAGGAGAATTGCACTCTTCTGCTGTTAGAAACCCCGTATAAACAATCTTTCCCCAGTAATTGTCAAGGGCACAGATACATATATGCCTGAATCCATTGCTCACATGGCTTCTGGACTGACTGGTTTGTTCTCACAAGTTAGAAAAGAGGGTGTGAAGATCATGTTATACTGCTGTCATACAGCCCTGATTCCATAGTTGGCATGGGGCCAGGCTGCCCTTGAGCAGAAATCAAATGTGCCAGCACTGGTGAAATAATTTTTGTTCATGTCCCCAGGGTACTTTTCCAAGAGAAGTTTTCCAGAGAAAGAACGTTCTTGGTTTGCACCCCTCTTTTCATTAAGAACAAGCCTATTTTGATAGATCAGAAGAGGGAAGATTTAGAATTTAAAAATTATTACAGCATCTTTGTGAAACTTAAGATTTGTCTAACCATCGAGGAAGACTCGAGGGAGTTTTTCTGTTTCATTGGAAGGCAGTCTGGTCTGATTTTATTTGACTGGCAAAGTGTCTGAATTGAATGAATATTGATTTCTGAATCTTTGAGAAAGAGAAATGAGATAGAAAAGGCATCTGGTAACTGTTAACACAGCTGCCAAGGCCAAGTAATTGAGTTACACACTCCCCTTACAAGAGTCATCATGCTGATTACTCTGCACTAGCCTACAATTAGAAAGTGTCTCTCCTGACGACCACACATTTGAATTTTTGAGGTGCTTTGATACCATTGGTCAGAGTGGGGACCATTTACAGGAGCATTTACTAATTTCATAGTCTTGAGAGCAGTGGACATCACTGCTAAATTTGTGATGGTTCGTGTAAAGCAAGGTAGAGGGAGAGAACCTCCACCATTTATTTAAAATGTATTTATTTAAAATGTATTTATTTAAAATAGTATTTCAGAAGGACCCCAACAGCAGTTTGTTCTCATCTATTACCCTGTTGCATTGCATTACTTCTCTTCTATTGTGTTTTGATTCTAGGAGTACCGTAGTTCTCGTTCTCCTGGTGTTCTGCATATGCTTCCTAGTGGCTTGTATTATGTATCTACATGTCACACGAGTACAAGTAAGTGATTTAAGATTTTGTGACTGTTCTTCCTTTTGGTGGCCATGCTATGTTTGTCCTTTGGAATATGAAGCCTTCAGTGTATGCTTCGCAGATTCATAGAGTCTGAAATCTATGTGTTTTAAAGTTCCTTGGTAAGTAATGTGTTAGAAACTGCAAAACCAAAGATCAGTCATCTGAAAGTAGGCATTTTACATGAGTAATCATTACAGCAGTGTAGCATTCAGTGCCATTAATTCTATGCTTTCTTTTTTTGCTAAATCTTCCTTGAACACCTACCACTAAATATTGTGCTTAGATAAACTGCTTTAGCCTGATTTTTACTCCTTTCTGACCACAGAACACACAGGTTCTCCCTTTCATTCCAGCTGGTCTGGGTGTAAAGTCCTGCTAACTTCCCCTCTGTTTTCAAAATTTTTCCTGCCAAAACAGCAGCTGTTTTGATAGTAAAGCACAATGTTTTGCACACACAATCCTTGGCCTTTTCAAAACCTTTAGTAATCATTAATTCTCCTGCATTATATTTTCAGAACAGTAATGATGCAGAAGGACATTTGGTTATTTTAGGGGAGAAATAGGTCTGCCAGATCAGAATAAAGCATCTAATTTTTATTAGATTCTAATTTTCTGATGAAAGAAATCTGTATTAGATTAATAAAAATTTAGTCTTTTCAGAAAACACACCTACACAGTTAATCAGCTTTGCTGATTAGCACACAGTAATTTTAGTTTTAAAAAGTGCCCTTTGGCAGAAGAAAAGCATGTGTTTTCATGGAAACGTAAATCGTATATTAGCAAAGTGTCAGGTACAGAACAGAACCCTATTTATGAACTTACAAAATTATTTGGGAATAACTTTGATGATTTTTTTTTATTAGGGCAAAATAGTTTATAATCTGTTTTTCTCTCTCTAGACAATAGAAATGCAGACAAAGTTTATAGGAAATAACTGCTCTTTATACCACTTCCCTGGGGCTAGTGCAAACATAAGAAGTGTTCCATCTGTTTTGTCAGTCAAGAAAATTTGTATTTATTCCAGGTTCCTCCAGAGATTCAATTTTATACAGGCTCAAATCCAGCATTAGAAAAATTATTAGAAAATAAAGAAATATAAGACCTTAGAATATCACAATTTAAAACTTTGTGGCAAAAGTTTTTCTTATTATAAATAAAATTAATATGATGTGGATAATGGATATACAATTGTAAAACAATCATTCCCCTATTTTAATCAGTCTTATGCAACTTACTTGCACTTTCACACTGCACAAATGACTCAGCTTCTCCATGCTTTAGCATTAAATACCTCATTCTTAAAACCACTTTGACAGTATTCTACTTACCAGTTACCTAGAATTTTGGTAATCTGACGCTACTTAATTAAGTACACACTATTTAATAAAAATTCAAATAAAATAAAACAAAGAAAATTAAGACAAAAATTCTATGCTATCATAAATGTGCATATGCAGTCTTAGAATTAAAGTCAGAAGTATAAATCTTATTAGTTTCAGAATTTAAATTCAGATGTGTCTCATAACTTATGTTTTAATGGTTTCTTTGCCATTTTGACCAAATAGCCTAGCATGTCAACATTTAAAACTGTATGTACTACAAAAATCAAAAATAATTGTGTAATGTGTCAGGACATGTAATCTGTGAATCTGTATCTTGCTTTGTCCCTATTAACCATCCAGCATTATCTTCAAACCATGGGTATTATCTCTTTAATAAGCAGTAGACAACTTCTTTTGTTGCAAACTGAATTAGTGGAATTGATATTGTTTCTTCAAACAAAATTATTTTGTATTTTATTTATATGGATAAAACCACACATGTTCCACTCCATTTGTATACAGGATTCTTCTGATCTAGTTATGTGGACAGTTTGATGGGTAATACCATCAAAGTATTGAGGATGAGACCTCGAGTATGCCAATCTGTTTCATTAATTGCTAGTGCTTACACTGTATGGAAAATTAGCTCAGATCCATAATACAGCTCTACTGTTGATATGATATTGATTGCTCCACACCTACATTTACATGAACTTAACCTACACTGAAGCCAGAATATATTTGTAGATCATAGTTCTTTTTTTTTTTTTCCCCTGTAATTTCCATATTCTCATGTGTCCCAGCCCATAGGAAGTTGATTCATCTATAACTACCTCAAACTTTTAATAATGTGTTTGCACATACAGGGAAAATGTCTCTGCATACGTGAAAGGGGTTGAATTTCAATGCAAGATTTCTCTTTTGCCAAGGCTACAGTAGCCTCTCTCTATGATTACTTTGTTGCCTGCTGGAAGTGATGCTTTTGAGGCCAGTGATACCCATGAAGTGAACAGTTTTTCTTCAAAACTGTTGACTTTCATCCAAAAATCAGCTGTTTTCTTGTTCCATTTGACCTTAAGTGAAATTCAACCTTGATAAATCTCAGCTTCCTCCACTTAAAGGACACAGGATAGTGCCCACTTTAAATCTGACTGTTTCTTGGATTGGGTTCTTGACCCTTGATGTCACTAGAAGTCCTGTGGTTTGAAAGATACATCCAGATAATAGATGCCCCAAACATTCTTAGTGCGAGGGGAAAGGAAGCAGCTTCACCTGGAAGCAGAGTGGATCAGAATGACTGGAATGGGCCTAAGTAGGCAGCCTGACAGACTTATCCTTCCTCTCTCACATTCTGTCACAGGCTTCATAGCAGTGAGAACTTGACACTTAATAGTGTGATGAATGGAATCAGGGTAAAAGTGAAGATAAACAAAATGTTCACATGACTCCATTTCACCAGACATTTTTGTTCTCTACTGCTGTTTCTGGCAAATTCAATGTTTCTATGGGTCACAATAATTAAAACTACCCTGGCATTTAACCTGCCTTTTATAACAGAAAACATATATACCACTCCAAAATTCTATGCTATCACTGTATGTTCTCTTGGATCACAATTTACAAGGCAAAGGAGAAGAAAATTTGCAAGGCAAAAGTTGCTTTGGGTACTTTCCCCATGAGAGCAAAATCAAATGCCATCCTAGAATATTATTTGCATCATGAGTAGACATACAACTAAAATTTGTAAGGGTTTTAATTATAGTGTGAAATAATGTATAGCAATAGTAATTTCACATTTATTATCCCCAAAACTGTGATTACCATTAAAATACACCTACACTGTAACAAGTGTTATGTCATGTTACTACACAACAGTAACTGCAACTTCATAATTTGCAGTATAGGTAAAATTTCTGTGTCCCTTATTCACTTCTCTTTATAGACTACTAAAATTAACAACTCCACTTTAAAAATATTTTAAATATTTTATCTATAAATCCTTTTTTTTTTCTTTCTTAGTGTTTTCCAGGGTGCCTGACAATACAAATTCGTACCATTTTGTGTATTTTTATTGTGATCTTAATATACTCTGTGGCTCAAGGCTGTGTGGTGAGTATTTGAATCAAGTTTCACTTAAGTTAGCATTCTGTTTAAAGAACAAGCTGGTGGGGATCCATTAAACACATACCATATTCTCATCTGATGAATTCCTACTTGTTTTATTATTCATACTTGCAGACCATGCTTCTTCAAAATTAAACCCCTTTGCTGCAATTTGAACTTGGCTTGAGACAGTGTATTGAATTAGGAATGGCAAAGCTATTAGCAAATTACACAGATAATACCTATTCAAAACCAATATCAATTTATATGTCAAACCTTAGCATCATGTAGATTACTGGTGTCATGTACTTTATGGGAAAACTTTTTAAATGTTTAACTTGATTTCTAGTTCAATAGCTAATATTTTGTGACAGACAAAGTATGGTCAAAACAAGATTACTATTTGTATGTGGCAATTTATAGAACAGACTTCTGTGTAATAACGGGGATATTTTTAGTCCAGGCAGTGTAGAAACAATGGAGAGATCTTAAAATCTTGACAGTTTTGTGTAAAGAGGTGTTTACTCTGTGCTACTTATATGATCTATTCACATCTAATGTCTAAAACGTTTCTGTTGTATTAAGCGAATGTGCTCAATACTTCTGAAAACTGAGCTTCCTTTACTGTACCTTAGCAGAGAGTTCAACGTGGTGGACCTGTATTCAAATGGTATTCAAGCTTCCACCTAAGTATTTGCCAGTCAGTTGCCTTGACAAATTTCTTAGTGCTCAATTTTAGCATTTTGGCTGCTAATGCTAATGAATTAAACATGTTAGGGTACTCAAAGGAAAGAATCCATACAAAAATAGCACACGAAACACAATTGGAAATGCTGAGAAGGCAGATGTTTCAAATCATGCCTCTCTGCAGGAATTCGACAATATGTTCTGACCATTCAGAGGACGTGGGTAATTCTCAGTGCCGAGATGCCAAGAACCATATTTAGTATTTTGTATTTCATATTTTATATTTTGTGTATTCACTCGTCCCTGGATCTACCCTGAGAACATAATAACTAGCTTATCCCCATGAACTGACTGGGCAGAGGATCCCTTTTCTGTAGATTCCAATGTCCTGAAAGGAACCAAGAATAACTAATGTTGAGACATTTCTGGGAATTCCTGAACATAATCTGTGTGAGTAACACACAGCCCTAATAGCACACAGATGTATATATGGTTCCTAATGTGGACATAAGCACAAATTGCATAGAGCTTTACAGTGATTCCAGGCTAGCTTCTCAGCAAATTCAGTGTGTCTGGCTTCGTGAACCTTTGTGAATCAGCCTCCACACTTACTCCTGACACTTACTTTGACCAAATGAAGCAAGCACCATTGTTGCCACATAAAGATAGCAAAAATGAGAAACAGATATCATAAGCCCTAATGCAATGCTGAACAGTGGAAGACAGATTAGGATTCACTCCAACAAGGCAGTGATCATTCAGTTACAATTTAGAAAACAACTTTATCCATTCCTGAACATTCCTGAACTTTTAACCTAAGGAGAAATGTTTAATCAGTAGAAATTATTAGTTCCTGCAAAGTAATGCCTCTAGAATTCTCATCTGTCAGAAGAGCTAGGTGTTGCTGTTCCACTACTGGTTGTACAGCATATTATGTTTTCCTGGATGGATTGCACATCACTGATGAAGCCCTCTTGCATGTGTATGTTTTTGGATGAGTTTTATATGAAAGCATTTTAAAGATATTGAACAAAATCCCATTAAAGGGATTTTTCATTTCACTCTCTCAATCTCATTTCATAGTGTTACCCATTATGAGTTTAACCCACTTTTTTTTTATTTATTATGTCTCATCTTTCTAAGTTAATACAACTCCTTCTAAAATACATGGTTTAATCACCCTTCAGGATGTCAGTTACTTTTACAGTATGCTATAAAATGTCATTGTAAGTGGTTGGGATGAAATAAAAAGGTCTTATAACACACTTCAAAAGAGATGCTTAAGTACAGGGCAGGGTTTATGTGATGGTGCCTGTTAAATCAATTTCACACTACCATCCCACTCTCCCCTACTTATACTAACTCTTATCCTTTTCCTTTGTAAGGGGTGAAGGTTGGACTGCAGTTAAAACTGGAGCTCTAGGGACTTGCACTATTTGCCAGAAATTCCTCTCTTCCTTGGGTAACAGCTCTGAGATATGTACATGACATTGTCTTTAGGAAAAGCAGGTTAGACTTCCCCAAATTTCCCATAAGAAATATACTAAAAAATTTATTTCCCAGTGTAAGAAGGAAATGGAATTCCTTGGATAACTGAAATGACAGAGGTAATTAAAGATGAGTCCTTGTATTTGAAACATATGTGACAGCAGAAGTAGCTGCGAGATGGAAAAAGATAGTATGTTCAGTTTTTCACTCAAAATGTGTTTTATTTCGTATTTAAGTAATTGAAGTTTATATGATTTATACAGTCAATAAAACGAACATTTATTCCTGTGCTCTGCATAAGAACCTTTTTCACCTGCATGGCCACAAAAAAATGTTAACTGAAGTTTCTTAATTTTGCAGGGATATCCTGGCTTGAGAATCTCTTAGGTTTGAGCACTGAGAGGGAAACTATTCAAGTAATCCCAAGTTGGTTGCCGTTATTGGCATCTATTTAACAAATCGTGTCTCTCCCCTAAAACTCAGTGGAGGATTGCAGGAAAAGGAAATTTTAATACAACATTGAGCTGAATGGGAACTCCTCAGCCATATTTTTTCCGATTAAAAATGAACTACAGTCAGCCTCCATAGCAACTACATTTCAATTTATTTCATATTTAACTTTCTTCCTTTCTCACCTCTCCTGTCTTTTCTAGGTTGGCTGCATGCCTTGGGTTTGGAATACCAATTCCAGCAGCTCAATAGTTATAATTTCTCCTGGTGGAACGAATAAAACAATGAATGAACTTCCATGTGAGACGGCCCACTATGCTTTCCTTTCCTGTGTAGTGGGGACTCTCACCTTGGCAATATTTCTACGCGTATCTTCCTTGCCAAAAATGATTCTCCTGCTTTTTGTTACAATTTTGTACATAGTTATTCTGGAACTCAGTGGTTACAGAAAAGCAGTGGGGTAGGTATCTTGAAAAATTAAATAATGGGTGATTTTCTATAGATAGTCACATATTGACTACTTATTTCTGAATTGTCCTCTAGTGTTCACTGCTGCCTAGGACTGTAGACTCAGTAGAGCATAAGAAATACATCAGTCATCTCCCCAGCAATTGTAGGATCTAGTAATATCCATCAACAGGTGATCAGCTTTTGGGAGCTGGCAACAGTTTCCCCATTGTTCCATAGTTTTATGCTAATGCACCCCAGGTGAACACACTGCAGTCTAACTATCATATGGAATAGAAAAACACAGTTAAAAACTTAACTGCAATATTTCAGCAGACCTCAATCAATCCCGATTTCAACTAAGATTTTGAGCTTTTCAGTGTTTTTACATTTCCTAATTAAAAACATGCACACGCATTACAATAATGCACAGCATCTAAAAAGCCTCAAGAAGTTGTATGTTTGTGTGATGCAGTGATCAGATGTACTATCACCCATCTCCCTGTCCAGATGAGACTCTTCAGAAAAAGCTAGTGATTAGGAGGTACCCATGTGTTCTAAACTAAACATCTGATATTAAAAATGTGCAGTGTTGGGTATCAGATCTGGAATAACCCATTTATTCTTATTTTTAAGGGGCGGCTCCTTTTATATGCGTGGCTATGAACCAATACTAGCTATTTTGCTATTCTCTTGTGCTTTGGCACTGCATTCAAGGCAGGTGGATTTGAAACTGCGTCTGGACTACCTCTGGGCAGTGCAGGTAAATCACAGGACTTTATAGTACCCATGCACACAAAATAATGTCTGACTCTTTGAACTGGTTTTCAAATACTTTCAGGACAAATTACTTGGACTCAGACACTCAAACATTCCATGTTTCTTGGGGTTCACAGAGAAAGATTACTTTAGAGCTTTCTTTCCACACACTTATAAACCTATATTATACAAAGAAACTATGGACCTCTTTCCCAGAGGAAGATCAGAAATTTATTTAAATACCAAATGCAGGGACCTCTATTGAAAATACATTTCCTAACTATCAGACACAGCAAAAACCTATAGAAATTATATTAGCCATAACACGGGCCTCAGGATATTTCTACCTCCTGTCAGCAGTCTATTCCCACCTCCAAACTGCTTTACACTGGTCCCCAAGGGAAGGAGAAAGTTGAATATGTAAGTTTCTTTTGTGGAATTTGGAAGTTATCCTTACAGTAAAGCTTACACACCTGTAGTTGACAGAGGCCATATTATGTTCTCACCTGCACCCTGTTAAGTATTTTGTTGAGAGGACCATTTAAATCATCATAGCACTTGCTTTTATACCTAACATCAGGACCGGAATACATGGGTTGCTGGTTGACTGGAACATATCCCTGGCTCCACTGTATTACATAAAATGGAGAAATCAGTTATGACTTAGTTCTATTATCTTCTGCTTGAAAAGTTATCTAGCAGTTAAGCTGTGTGAGGATTTCTTGTTTGACTTGATGTCCAAGACTGTGTTTACCTCTTTTATGCCTTAAGATTATCTTTTTCTATAATTTAAATGAACTCTGTTGAGTATGATCATTACTCTGCATATGATAACTTAATTTAATTTAATTTTTGTCCAATGGCCTGCAGTATTGGTAACTGCTGTGCCTGAAGCTTGTTTTGGATAAACTGACATTAGTTTCTGTTTGCTCTGGTGCCAAATACAATTTTCAGATGGAAAAAAAGATCGCCTGATTTTGAAATTCAGTGCAGCATCTGCCTTGATGGATAGTCACTAATTTTATATGAGTTGGCACACCATGGAAGTATGTGAGTGCCATAATGATCCATTAATACAGAACCTTCTGTATGTTATTACTAGCCCTGAAATAGAGTAGGAGCAGAGTAATGTACCAGTTTTGCTGTTCTGCGACCTTTCAATGGACCAAGAGTGAGTTCCAGCATCTTAAATACTTTCATCATTCCAGTTACTGTGACTTGCATGGCAAACTGTGCATCCCTGATGGAAGCAGTGCTTAAAACTTAGTTTTAAGTTAGCTTTTAATTAGCAATTAATCAATGTAAAAAATTGAAGTACAGGAGTATAGCATGCATGTCTAATGAAAGACCAGAACTGGACTTGGACAATGGTAAAAGAAGAAATATGGACTTTTTCTGTTTTATTGAAGACAGGCTATATAAAAATGCCTAGTCATCATCAGTGTTGATAAAACCATTGTGCACTTTCTCCAAGGGACAGTAAGGGGAGATAAGCCATGAAATTTCAGTATTGTCTACTGGCATTTCCTGGTACCATTTCAAAAATTGCTTTTCATCTGGGAAGTTCAAATGCCATTTTCAGATCTTTTCATTTTCAAATCAGAAATAATGAGAAAGGAAATAATAAGTTTAGGTAGAAATTTCAGAATTTAGGGATCAACATAACTACCATTCTTTGAAATCAGTGTGTTGATTTCAAAGTTTTATGACTTCAATGGTTTTGTTCTTGGCCTCTTAGATTATCTGGGCATATACCTTTCATCTTCTCAATTCCAGGTGGAAGATCTATTCCCTGCATAATAAGTAATAGTGGATAACATGTCTAAAGAAATGCTGTCCTGCTTTCCACTCTGTGTATTGGTTGTAAAGGATATTGAGTCCAAGGATTAATTAATGTAACAACCAGGAGCACTATCCATGATGGATGTTATTGAAGTGGTTGTTGTGCTTATCTACTCAAATGGATAAGCAAAAAAAATCCCAAAACATCGCTTTGAACTTACTAGGTTCTACAGCACAGTAAAAATCTGCGTATCAAAGGCTCAGGGAACACTGATTATTGGAAATACCTATATGTTAAACCTGCCTTTGAGTAGTTAGCAAACTCCAGGCTACTAATTGTTTAACAGCCCTTAAGAGGAGACAAGTTAGAGCCAGTTTTCTCTAGCTGCTGGACTGCAGGAGCCCTCTACAAGGCTAAAGGCAGTCTTGTCATGTTTCTCCACAGCCACAGTACTACTTACTGTTAAACCATTTTGGCTTAACTTGGTTATATTTCTGGTAACAGAAGTTTTAGAAAGACCATTGACATAGTGCACAGGACCTGTGGAGATTTTCTCTTTTCAAAGTGAGTGCGCTGATTCTTTGTGCAAACACTGAATTGCATGAACCAAATGCTGAAACTAGATTCACATCTCCAAGTAGCCAGTCCCTGCTGTGTGAAGATATTCCAACATGGTTCAACCTGTCATTTTAGGAGGCTTTTCAATTGCTGGCTTACATCTGGGGGAATTTCAGACTCAAGGGCTATTCTGGAAGCTTCAAGAAGATTTATTAACTTATTTCTAGTAGCATTCAGTGTTGGGCTAATCCTGTAAAAATGTTTTCAGATGAATAAAAGCATTTGTGGTGAAAGCTGCAATAAAAAGGATTTAATAAATAATTTATTTTATTTCATCATGAACAACAGTCTAGTACTACTAAATTATATTTTTAACTGTGAAAGCATCCTGAAACTAATCAGTAGGAATACATAGATATATATTCAGTGGTCTGTGCTAAGGTCTGAGGAAAACACACTTCCACACATTTTTTCACCCCATCAGGGGAAAAAAGTGCTTTGAAGAAAAGCAGTTTCAAACAACAAAAACTGATTTAGAAAAATTACACAGTTTCAAGACAAGTTAATCCAATTTCCATTCATCTAGGTTGCCAGAACATCTAGGTTCACCAGAACAGTGATAATATAGTAGAACTTATGTACATTGTGTGGAAAAATAATTACTTTTATGTGTGATATGGTGTTAAAACATTTATATTTGTACATTCTGTTCACAAATCAGTGGTTTTATAAGCTCTTGTTGATTTGCTATGGTTTTTTTCTGTGTCAGATTTAACCTTTCTGAATATCACATTATTTTCAGAAAACATCTGTTGGTTGTTTTCTTGATATTTTTAATAGGTAGTGGGAGGAGGAGAATTTCATTTTCTGCATTACATCTCCGAGTAACTCTGTGTTTCCCATATGACAATAACTGAATAGCAAATATAGGAGATTGTACTTATTTGTGACTGATAATTACTTTTGATTATGCAAATTATTTAACAAAACTGGGAGAAAAAAAGAAAAAAACATGGACAAATAAATGCAAGTAATAAATTCATGAAGATCCTAAAACTAGCAAAAAATGCAGTTGCTCACTTATCCAGGATTTGTTACAGGAGGAAAACAAGAATAATACAATGATATGACTTCTTTTGATGCATTCAATTGGTGCATTCTTTAGGGAATACTAGAATATCATTCTGCTGTCTTTTCTAGCCCATTACACTTGCAAGAAATACGAATTTTGCAATCTACAGGCAAGACTTACTAGGTGTCTTAGCACTTCCACTCAAAAACCTGGCCCTACAAAAGCAGTCTGATGTGTTTGTTCCCTGTGGATCTAGTGCCATCTTCAGGTACAAAAAATGATATTTCCATGGCACTGGTGCCCAGCTTCTTTTTAACTGAATCTTGAAACTGTGTTTTCATGTGGTGTCTATTTAGACAGTGACTTTTTAACAGCATTTTTAGGCTTATTAAACTGTTAGGTGATACAACTGTTCAGACCACTTCCCAGACAGAGGATGGGTAACCACTTACCAGCATTTGTAAAAGCTGTAGGATTATGTGTAACTATGTAAAATACAGTAGTTGTTAATTAGATTGATATAAAAAGTACTAAAAACATTTTAAATTTTTTCACTGTGTCCAGTGCAAAAATAAAACCTGCTTTTAAATACTGCAGCTCTGCAAATACAGTTGAATTCCACAAAATTACCTAGCTGCCACAAATACCAAACAGGTATAAGCAAACAGCAGAATGTGAAAAATTATATTGGTTATGCCAATGCATTTTCTTTCTTATTTATTTTCACAATAATCTCTCTTGTTTTTTGAACTAGTGGCTATTGCATAAATATCATACTGGCAGCTTTCCTTAATTAACCAATGGGAATAGAGGCAAATAGATGAAGGTTTAAATGCCTTTTAGCTGTTTGGATAATATTCCCACCAGGAATGTAAATACCTGTGATCTGTGCTATTTTCATCTTTCAGCCCTAAGTACTCCTTCTCCCCTCCCAGTGTCTGTTTTTCCTGAGAAAGAATTATGCCTTACACATCCTTTAATCTCAGCTGCTCAAGAGTAAGCATTAGAAGCTCATGAGTCACAAGAAGGGACAGTTTTCATTGCAGTTCCCTGAAGGGCAGAAAGCAGGGAACTGGAAAAAGGTCCAGAAAATACCAGTAGTTGGCTTACTTCCCTCCCATATTATCTCTGTGATGGGATAGTTTTAGAGTCCTCACTGTTGGACATGACCATGTCTTTTTTTACTTCACCTTCCCCCCTTTATCTTCCCTTGTGAGAGATGCAAGGACACATTTCCTCTTTCCCCAAGCAGATCCTGAGGAATTGAATAAATGAGAGCTGTCTTAGGCAGTGCAAGGCAAGAGGATAAATACTCAAGCTCTGTGCAGCAATAGCAGAGGAGGTACACTTCCGTTCATAATCCTAACAGATCACTTCAAAAATAAAGCAGGATGTTCGGCATGATGTGTGCATGGGTTAAGTGCAGTCCATGCAGAGGCTGTCTCAGGTACCAGCAACAATACAGCAGTATTGACCCAGTATGTAGTCTAATATGCCTTTGCTTTTCAGCATGAGGAAGTAACACAAAAGGAATGCTATGCTAATTCCATGAATGTTCTGCTTCTGGTTCTGGGGCTAGGTAAGGCGGAGCTAACACAGCTTAGTTTTCAGGGCACTGCATTCTCTCCCGTGGGCATTGTCTGTGCAAATTTCTCCCAGAACACGTGGAGAGAGTGCACTCCTCTCTCTCTCTCTGTTAGCCAGGAGGTGCTTGACCTCAAATAGGTCAGGAGACCAAAAAGTAAGAGCACTCCCCTTTTTCTGCTGTTTGCATAATTTGCCCCTATTTTGGGTTTGCTATCATTACCCACCACAAATCACAGAATCACTATAGTATTATTCAAGGGCTTTCCAGGGTTTCCAAGAGCTTTTAAGGGTTTTTTTCATGTGAAAATGATGATTTTCTCAAACCCTTAGTGTTTGATTAGTCTGCCCACAACCCAGAAAAGCTGAGATCCTTGTGCCCAAGCAGTCTGCCAGCACCTCTGGCTTTGGGGACCCTTCACAAAGTAGTCTGCCAGATCAGAGTGCAGTTCAACTGATTTCTTCATGGTCACACGCCAAAAGAGAAACCTCCTTCTGGGTCTTCACACCTTTACCCACTGCCATTGACTACTAGCACCCTTGAAGAACCCACATTAATTCTTTGTAGATAACAAACTTTATACATTAAAAAAAAAATAGTGAGAAGTTCAGGTTGATTGCTGGTGATAGTATCTGACTGCAAAAATGTATTCAAAGCAATGTACAGACAAGCTCTAACCCCCAGTGAGAGCTAGCTAGAGATAATCATTCAGCATGCATAGAGTACACTTCTTACCCCCTAGGTGTCCATATGGGGCAGAAGAGAGGTTCAGCCTACCAGCTAATCCCAAGTTACGATGGGGTCTTCTCCTCTTTCTTAACTCTTCTTTACATTTATGCAAAGCCTGAGTGACATTAGTCATACATCACACTCAGTGAGGGGTGGTTGTGCCTTGGAGGCAGGTAACATCAGTGTAGTATCTGAGATAACCTTGGGATGGGGGTATGTGTCAGTCCAAGGAGGGTAGTTTTGCCATGACTTCTGATTCAACAGCAGGACATCTTCCATCATCTCCCTTGGCTTACACCTGCTGTACAGCTTACCAACTAAAAAGTACCACCAAGTACCCTCTTCTGCAAGGGTTTCAACAGAACCTGGTTGCAATGTCTCCACTTCACTCCACTCTACATTTAGTCCCCCCTAGTTTGTACTGTGTGTGGAAAGTTGGGTGTGCTGACTGTGTTACACACAGGGAGTAGCAACCATGCTTCCCTTTATATTTTCCATACTGTTATCTTTAATTATACCTCAAGTCTTTTTCCCACAATCTCATTTTTGGCAACTGAAGCCTCTCAGAGCCAAAATTGTAGTTAACAGTTTTACATCCAAAAAGGGGAGACACTTATTAGGCGTGTTGAAAATGTAACATTATTATTAGCAAAGGTGACATCATTATTGCTTTTCCCTACTCTTAGATGGTTTTGCCACCACCCCAGACATGACTCTGATAGTGTGATTTGAGTCACTGGATCTTCACTCAGAGAGCTCAGTTCTCTACTTCTTACTCATGGGTGTTCCCTGCTCTAAAACCTTCGTTATGGTTCATACATAATGATGGATGTATTGGAGAATCTTTTCAATAATTTCTTCCAAAATGAACAGTTTGATTCACAACTGGGCAGGGCAGAGGAATGTGATCACATGTTTCCACATCAGAAATGAACATCAGCTGCCAGGGACTGAGTAACATCACTATCCATACAAAGCTTCAAACTGACTACTCCGCTTTCCTACTCATACTTGATTCCTTTGATTAGTCCAGAAACCTCCATACCTTGACAAAAAAGAGTATTGTTTAGGAAATTATTCTGTCCCATATTGTATTGGTAGGTTAACTGAGAACCTTAACATTCCTAGGAAGAAAGTAAGAAGAAAATTTCTTGTTCAAAAAAATAGATGAATAGATAAGGAAGACCTGAATTGATATTTTATTAAGATCATCAATTCAGTTCACAAATCTCTTTGCTCTTGTCAGAATAAAACTTCCCATGTTCCAGTATGATGTAAAATGGAGCTGCAAGCTTGGTTTGGATTTTCAGCTGAAGAATATTTTTATTTTTCCTATTAAAACATTAAAATTCCAACAGTCAAACTAAATGCCAGAGGCCATTTCACATGTTTATAGAAAACAGTAAGTCAGAGTTATACCACCTAAACAGGGGAAGCATATTTTAAGAAATGAGCATGTGAAATTTAAACAGCGAAAGAAGTGTCAAGAAAACAGCTCACAAACAGGAAATAGATACTTAGAATAAAAGCTTCAGGTGTATTTCTTGCAAAACTTAATTGCTATTTAAAGTTTACTGATATTTCACCTCTGAAGCGGGTTCTGTTTCTTATTACCCAAACTGGAGTAAGAGCTGAAATTTATTTAAAAAAGCAACAATTCCTGAAGAATTTATGTTTATAAAATTAGTTCTCTTTCAGAATTCTTTCTACTTGTAAATAAATTTAAAAATACAGAATAAACTGCAGGACAAAGCAGACTGCAACTTGAATAAAAATGTTGTTTTTTAAGTTTTGTATTGGAAAATAAAATTTGGCTTCCTGGAAAAAAATCCCATTAAATAATATTATTAGACTATATGAAGGCAAGAGGTGACTGGTTTTCTCCTACATAGATAGGAATGGATACTGAGAAATTATGTGGACTTTGTAATAGATCAGGATACCAAATTTCAGATATAAATGTGACACCAAGAAAGGTTAGAACAGGTACATCAGTGATTTATGTGACTGGGTTTTCTCAACAACACCTGAGAATTTGGCCTTCCAGTCTTCTACTGAATATGATTAGATGAACAAAAACGCATTGGGATCACAGAAGAAGATTTGTGAATGTGATTGAGGAACAAAGGATAAGCTGTGATTTCTGTGAGATGAATATGATACTGATCGAGTGTTTTCTAATTGAAATCAGTGTGAGGCCAGAAGTCACTCCTAGAACAAGGAGAAAATTCTAGAAAAGTAATTTTGCAGATGAATCTGTGAAAGACTAGGCTGGAATTTTCAAACCTAGGAGTCCCAGATGAGATTCCTAGATATTCAGTATTTTTCAGATAAGTGGTCTGATTTTTAAAAGTGTTTTCTATTGCATGACTCACACTAACTCTGTGAGTCAGGCACTTGTAATACTTGTAAGATACCCTTGTATCTTGGGTTAGTTATGCCAGTATCTTAGATTAGGGACCTCAGATGTGTTCCTAAGCATTCTTTCTGAATGCTGTCATTCACATCAATAACAGAATTTCTGTTGCAAAGGAACTATATATATTTTCATGACAAACACCAGCATTATTAAAACTATCTCTAGAAATGCTAACTATTTTTATATCATTTTTTTAAAAATTGTACATCATTCTTAAGGATGCTCAATACTAAAATTTTTTTCTCTGTTGAAGTTATTGTCTTACCAGACTTTTTTCAATTTTACTGCTAAGTACATAGGCTTGCTTAAAACACTGGAGATTCTTACTGGTTTCTCTTGTTTGAAAGATGGATCAAATACTGCTGTCACTGCGTTGAACTACCTGGGAAGTAATTGTCCTCCAAGGCAAATGTGACTTAAGTGGGATTATTCTGGTTTAGTCTGTAAATATATCAGGCTTCTATTTAAAAGAACAGAGAACTATAGAAGATACCAATACACTTAGCTGATCAAACCCTGAAAACAGCTGAGAGACTTTAGCTTGAATTACTAAGGATTTAAAGGGATTTTGTGTAATGTAGAAGCATGGTACAGGAGAACTCTTCTCAATCTACCTTGCTACTCTACATTTTGTTCATTTTAATTCCAAAGGATCAAATAGAAGCTATTTGATAGGCTCAGTTAATTTTTTGCTTTTAGGTAAGGTTTCTCTTTTCCTCTATTCCAACAGGCAGAAGAAGAGAGAGATGATATGGAGAGAGTCAAGCTGGATAATAAAAGAATTCTTTTCAACCTGTTGCCAGCCCATGTTGCACAGCACTTTCTTATGTCTAATCCAAGAAATATGGTAAACCAAGACAAAATTTAAATACATATTGTATGGGCCTGTGTTGTTTGGGCCACCTTCCACCTATATGCTTTCAAGAAAAGCTTGAAAAAACTTTGCTCATGTAATAATAGCAGCTTTGCAAAAACATGTTCAAGAATTAGTTTGAGATTATTTCTTTTGCTGTATGGTCCTTCTTCTCTGAAGAATTTTAATAAAATTCAGGATGAGGAAAACATTCAACATCCATGTAACCAAGTACTTGCATGTAAATCACTATTTTTTTTATTTTTTTTTTTATTTTATTTTCCAATCAGTGTAGGCTATTGGAATTTATCACAGTATTGCATGAGCTCATTTTGGTTCTGAATGGTGAAATGTATGAACTGCCAGACACTTATGTATTAACCACTCTAGTTCTGGAAAGTATGCTACCATTACCAAAACCATCTATTTAAAGTTAAAAACAGAGAATTGAACTTACTCAAGGAAGACACAGATTAACATAAAGGGATGCACTGACAAAATAAATTGGTTCAAGAAGCCTTATGAGAGTCCTTCTGGCCATCTGAAAACCTTCAGCACTGAAGTAGTCATAATGTCCATGTTACTGCTCTTGAGAGTTTGAGTCAAAGTATTTGAACCATAGCAGCATGATTTTACTTTCTTTGAGCTTTCCAAATTTTTAAGAAGAAACCTTACCATACAGAACAGCATTATATTATATAGGGCTCTACAACATAGAAAGACTTGAAGGAGTGAGGCCATTTATGTACAGCAGGATAAAATTGATCCATCTCTTATTTTGCTTATAAAACCAGATTGAGAAAATGTAATTATTTTTCTTGTACAATAGAAGTTCTATAACTGTTAAAACTCTCTCCAAATTTTGTCTCACTGCTTCTATGTCTAAACAGAAAAAAACTCTAAGTTGTTTTAAATGAGTTTAATACCTTAGGTGTTAATTTTCTATTGTAGTCTTGAATGAAGACATCTTTCAGCATTATTTTAAGAAATCTGTTTTTCCCTCTAGAATAACAGTTGGCCTTCCTCCTAGCTATTGCTTAGCAGTAGAATAAGTATTGTAATAAAGACGTTTAGTTCAGATTAATCTTTTAAAATAAAAATTACATCTGCTTGTGAACTGCAGGACCTTTATTACCAGTCATATTCACAAGTGGGAGTGATGTTTGCTTCCATCCCAAATTTCAATGATTTCTACATCGAACTGGATGGCAATAATATGGGAGTGGAATGTTTACGCCTGTTAAATGAAATTATTGCCGATTTTGATGAGGTAAGGTCTAAACACTTTGTCTTTTACCATATTCATTATACCAGATAACTATCAACGAGATTATCTGAAGCAAATCAGTGTATCTTGAACGATTTAATAAAAAAGTACTGTAACCTCTTATTTAATCGTAGTTTGTGTCCACTGGGCTTCTCCAAAGTGCCAAATTTGTACCTTTAGGCATGTGATTCTGACCTAAAGTTTCTCTAATATAGGAAAACTATCAAATGTGGAAGTTAATGGCAGCTTTTTCAATGACCTCAAAGAGGGCAAGACTCAACTTAGCAAATATGATATGGTTTAATGAACTTGCACACATTGTCTGATAACTATGGTAGCTTGTCTAAAATATTATGTAATATTTAACAGTTTTATGTTTTAAACAAAGCTTATGGACAAAGAATATTATAAGGATATTGAAAAGATCAAGACAATTGGAAGTACATATATGGCAGCTGTGGGACTCGTACCTACATCAGGAACTAAGGTAAGAAGATATTACTAACAATCTATATTATATTATATTATATAACTAACAATGTGAAGGAACCATTTTCCTTCCATTTCCAGAGGAACATCAGAAACACAACTAATTCTGCCAGATTGTTGATAACTTGTATGACTTCTTTACAACATTTTGAATCTGAAATTCAAGGAAAAGCTGTAGCTTGGAAAGGAAAACTGAAACTTGCTTATGTGGCTTCACTTGTAATTTCATTGTCTGAAGCTAGGGATTCCCTGCAAATTGGTGTATAAAAGCCTCTAAATCAGAGTGGTAATGTTTTAAACTTGGTATCTTAGATGGCCTTGTAAGATGCAGGGAAAGGGAGACTCTAGGTGTAGTGAATGGCTGCAAAACTAGCAGAAGAATATTAAAGTGCAATTTTTACATATATATTTTTAACACTGAAATCTGGATATAACCTATAACTCCCAATCCCCATCATGGACAGCAACTTTGTGCTAGGTACAGTGCTTCTCTGTACCTGATACCTAAAAATCAGCTCTTCTTTGTCTCTACCATTAGCATTCTACTTTCTGCTTTGATTACTCAGCAATAAAAAAAGTCAAAGTCATTTCAAACCCACTAACTCTGGGGCACAGTTCTTCTGTATCCTCATCACTACCCCTAAGTGTTACTCTTAAGTTATTGTCTTGGAACAGAGATTTCCTAGATTTCCAAGCAGCATCTGGAAAGTCAGAAAACTCTGTGGGCATTATATTAAAGGTAGAGTATACAGAGTACTATGCACGTTAGTAATTACACTAATAAAACTAAATTATTAAAATTTTATAAAATTAATAATATAAGAATAGAATGAAAATTAAAGGAATCCATTCATCTTATCTGCCCAGAGTTTTCAGACACTTACCCCTTGCTCTGATATGCATGTACATCTGTAGTAGACATATGTTGAATACATTAATGCATATAGTTTAGCATTGTAAAATAATACAAAATTAGAAGGCAAAATCAAAAAAGGCCAGAAGATGCCCTGGAGACTTTTTAGCAACAACTACCCCTGCTAAATAAATAAAAAATAAGACCACATTTAAATCAATGGTTAGAATCATGTTGGAGTATATCACACAACTAACTCTTTGGTCTGCAAAGTATTTCCTGCTGCCTTCCTTTGTATCATTCCTAGAAATCTATTCATTATTAAAAAAAAAAAAAAAGAAAAAAAAAAAGGAAATGTTTTTCAAAATTTGTTTATCCTAAAATGTTTGAGTCATGGGTTCTGAGACAGGCAAGAAACACTGATCTTTAGAATTATTTTCAGTGTGTGATCTGAGGCAAACAGGCAGCGGCATACTTTTGTGTCTGCTATAAATGCTCTTTGAACTATAATCCTCAAAACAAGTGTGTTATTGGATAACTTTGGCAGCATATGTTCCAAAACCTAAACATGTTTGTCTCTTGTATTTTATAGTTATTGAGTGAAGGGTCACCTGAGTTAGTCCAGGTCTGAAGATACTGCTCTGAACTTATGATAGTAATGCATTTAAAATCACTGCAGAAAATCTGGTAGTGTACTCTGTCTTCCTTTTTAAATATTGGGGCAAATTTTGATCTTTTCTATATATGTAGAATTTATTAAAAAATCTGTATTCCAGAAAAAACAATCTCATATGAAACAGACAATAATTTTTACTTTAACTTAGGGTTTCAGCTGTTCTGTGATCTCTCCCTACTGTTCATCGATGGAAATGAACAGAAGTTACTCACATCCTCTTGCCAGTTTCCCAGTAGTTCTTCAGCATACAGCTGTATATTAGAAGTCTGATAATCTTGGCTGGCCTGTCACGCACAGACAATCACTGCCAGCTTCACACACTCCCTGGGCTGTCCTGTGGAGTCATATGTCTCCATGGGGAACTATAAGGCACCCAAGCACCTCTGGTCTGCCCTCTGCCAGGAGTGTCCCAAGTTCAACAGAAAATCTGGCACAGCCTCTGATTGTGAATCACTAATTTTATACTAGGATTTAGACATTAAAAGAAAGCAGTGGATGGGGTTAATTGTGCTATTAACTGAGGATACTTATACACTTAAGAACACAGTAGCCTGATGAAGTCAAATATTTAAATCCCACATTTTACTGGACTCCTGTTTCTGCGCCTTGACTTCAGCAGGTGACTACAGTAAATGTACATTGTCTCTGTTGCAGTGACTTCATTGTGATGCTTTGGGCAGTCTTTCCAGTAACTACTCTGATGTTTAAGTAAATAATTGTTTGCCTGTTATATCAACAGGGTAGCACACAAACCAAGCCTTTGTAGATCTTTTGCACAGTATAAATTCATTGTATCTGTATTTCACCAGGATTCTGACTTCACCAGGGTCCTAACTTTGGGTGTTCTTTAGTGCAGGATCAAAAGAGTTTGCCCTTATTCTATTGAGAGACAACTGTCACCTGCAGCACACTCAATATTTGTCACCAGTCCTTTGTCCTGCAACCCTGAAGGGCACTGCAGGAAAACCGAACATTCAGCAGACAGCAAAGAAATGGAAGAGAGGAAACCTAAAGATTAGAGATCAAAACTGTGCACTGCTCTTTCCCTGCTCCAGATATTGAATATTTTTTTCCTTCTCTGTTGGAAATGTATCCATCAGCTCTTTAAGCTTAATTCTTGTTCTTCCTTTGTTTTGGTGATTCTGGAAAAGAGTAGAACTAGCTAGTTCACATTGCAAGAAGCAGAATTCCAGACATCCAGGCAGGTAAATAGAAGTATCCTTCCCAAAAGTTTGGAAGGGCACAAGGATGACTTTCATAATTTTTTGTAAATTTCCTAGCTACATTAAGCAACCCTTTCAAACTGAGGTGAATGAAGGAAATAGCAACCTGTTTCTCAGGTTTTTCAGTGGCTGTTTAGTGCATTTATAAAATCTCACTATCATGGCAAAATCTCAGCAAGCTTTCATCTCATGCCAGCTTGCACAGTCCTGTTGTGTAACACCCTACTGAAGCTGCCACTGACCCTGCATTTCTTTCACCATATCCTACCTTTAGCCCACTTTCACTTTACAAATTTGTTCAAAAATTCATATTTCTTATTCAAATAAGAGCAGAACATAAGAACAGTCACACTTGAGTTGAGTCAAAGGTTTATTCTAGTAACCTGTCTTTAACTAACCAAAGTTAGATCCTGGGGGGAGAGCATGAGTTACAGAACAAATATGAAAACCTCTCTTTTCCACTTTCTAATAATATGCTGCTTAGATTTTTACTACATTGTAGCAAATATTTCTTTCATGATCTTGAGAATTATGTTAGAAGCTTGCTAAGTTTTGGAATCCACAATATCCTCTGAAAATTAGTTCCACTAATTAGACTGAAATTGTAAAAAATTATTTTCATATGTTTGGGATTTTATTTACAAGTTAATACTTCACCATTTTATTTGATCCCTCTTGGACAAAAGGCATTAGTTCATTTAGATACATTTGATAACAGCTCCCTTTAATTTGCCTGGAAAGGAAAAACATAGAGGTGTTCTGCACCTCACAGGATTAAATGTAACAGGAATTTTGTCAATGGGAACAGCATGCACCCCATGGAAGCTGGGAGCTAGCAAAAGCCCCAAAGGGAGAAGAGGGCAAAAACGATAGTTATTAATAATCATCAGGCAAAGTAGTTTTGTAAGAAAGCAGGTTGTATTCCCTGCCACACTCAAAACAAACATCTGCAGCTCTCTAGCAACAGAACTACTTTACCATGGGAACATTGCTTTCCATTCTTCCCAGAAATCAAAAGGAGACAGAGAAGAAAAAAAAATAGCAGAAAAAAAGAAAGCATGTGATGCAGCTACCAACAAAAGTTTCTTTTTACAAACAAAAAATTGGTTAGATTCTTTTCCTAAGGCATCTTTGAGCTTCTCATTATTTTTCACTTTAGTATTTAACCTGCATATCAGTACCATACAAACCTAATGTGCAACACTATTTTGTTTCTAGGCTAAAAAATCAATTTATTCCCATCTGAGTACACTGGCAGATTTTGCAATAGAGATGTTTGACGTTCTTGATGAAATCAACTATCAGTCTTACAATGACTTTGTCCTACGTGTTGGTAAGTCATGTTTCTACAATTATCACACAAGCAGAAGATTGTTTTTCGTTGGCTTTTCCTGTGCTGTCAGCAAAGGATTACCTGTCCTGCACTCATGATTAAAACGGAAAATTCTCCATTAGTGAGAGAGTCACATCCATGTAAAAGGCCAGCAGTCTGGATGGTGTGCATTAGTATTAAGGAACTGTAATTCCCTCCAATTCCAGTGTGTTTACTTAATCTGTGCACCCCTAAAAGGAAAGTGCACCATTAATTTGCCTTGCCTTAAGTCTCGTGGCTTACACTGCTTTGCATCGCTAAGCTGCTGAAAATTGGGTCTTACTGTATTAGGTTAAGTTGCATCTGCAAAAGCTTTGTTGGCATTAGAAGTGCAATGGGAGCTTTTTCCCCATAGACGCCAAATCACCTTAACCAGTCCTGTTTTCTCCAACAAATCAAATCTTCTGGTGGGTGCAACACAACCCTTCCCATGCAATCCTTTCCATGTTATTACATGTCTTACCACGCATTTCTCTCAGCCTTCTTAAAGATCAAGTTCCCTGCTTCCCTTTTTTCATGTATCCTGCTCCTCTTCAGTGGTACTGCCACTGCTGTTGCCGTTTCATTGCATATTCTAACACTGATAGTTTTCTCAGCTTCTTTCTCTATATATTTTCATGGCTGACATGTGAGAATGAGCTGGACAACAGGAAAACTGGGGTTGCTAGCAGAATATTGAGAAAAACTAAAGACATCAAAGGCAGCAATAGGAGAGCTATACATCTTTGACCTCCTGTACATCCTAATAATTATAAACCCCAAATTCTCTTTGAACTCTGTTACAACTTGTCTTTCCAGGTTCATGAAGGATCAAATATCTAACCCTCATTCTTCTGCATAAATTGCCCAGGAAAGCCCTTGCACAGAATCTCATGCAGGGTTTAGTATCTGCAGCTCTTCAGGGCACTCAGAAGGAACATACTCTTTAATCATCCAAATGTTGATGTTGAAATCAGAAATGTAGAATTGGGCTCTGCAGCTTCAAAAAAAAAAAAAATGCTTGAGCCATTTTTACATAATTCTGTCTTCCACTGTTTCTGGGATCTGAGATGTCTAGTACTAAACACCGCCCTGACACACTTCCCTTACCTCAATCCTTGTGCATTCCAGATCATTATATCTGTTCCACTTGGAAAACCTCCATTAAAAGGCTTTATATGTGCAACTGCAGTGGAAGTTATAGGAAACAAAAATCTTTAAGTTTGTCCCATTTTTAGCTAAACTCTGTCCTGCCACTGCTTTTCTTCTTTTCTTTAAACAAACAAAGTCCACAGAAGGATAAATTTTTTATATTGTCTATCATACTACATTTCCAATAAGATATTTCAAGGAATGTCTTTGTTGTGTTTCTAAGACTTTTACAAATGCAGAAGTCCACTTGGCATTAATTTAATCACAGAATCATGAATATGCTGAGGGATCATAGAATATGTAAGGGACCCATCAGGATCTTTAAGCCCAACTCCTGGCCCTGCACAGGGCAGCTGAAAAGTCACACCATGTGCCTGAGAGCATAGTCCAAATGCTTCTTGAATTCTTTCAAGCTTATTGCTGTGACCATTTCCCTGGAGAGCTTGTTCCAGTGCTCAGTCTCCCTTTGGGTGAAAAACCTTTTCCTGACATCTAACCTAAACCTTCCTTTGACTCAGTTTTATGAGGTTAACATACATTACTGTATTACAAAAAAAAATGCTAGGATGCTTGCGTCAAATCTGTTTTGCAGGATTCATGTTTCCTTTGGATAATATGCTGTAGTGAAAACCAAACTCCTTGTTTAATTTTAGGTATTAATGTTGGACCGGTAGTGGCAGGAGTCATTGGAGCCAGAAGACCACAGTATGATATCTGGGGGAACACTGTGAATGTTGCCAGCCGGATGGATAGTACTGGAGTGCAGGGAAAGATTCAGGTAAGTGCCTTCTAAGACAACTTTGCAAACTTTGCGTACCTCCTGTTTTATATGTGGTTACATTTTCAAGAACACTTAGAAAACACAGCCTCACTTTGTTCTTATGGAGAGGGCAACACTCTCCAGATGACTCACCATCAGAGGTATAGTTGTTTTCCATCTTATACACTTCACTCCTCAGAGACAATAAAATCCTCAAATAAATCATTTCCCATCAGAAGAAACAAGAGTTCTCTGCTTCATTGCACACAGTTGGAGGTAAGCCTGGGAATGCTAACACTGCCAGTCTTTGTGCTGTAGAATTTTTGCCTAAATTAGATCTGCAAGGAAAGTATCTATGCTCATTTGCATCTTACTACATTTTATGTAGCTCTAAAAATTGCTTGGATATTTTGGGTTGGAGAGGCGATGAAGACGGAGAACATTGTTATTCTACTACAAGAACGTATGGTGTTCCTCTCAAAAGTTCAATGAACACCTGCAGTCATTTATCCAAAATACCTGTCTAATCTCCAGGGATTAAAAGGTCTTCTGCAATAAATTAACATCACTGGAACTGATACAGCTTACAATTTGGTTACATATTTCTGTTGGATGGAGCTTAATCTGTCTGTGTATTTATTTAACTCAAGACCAGAAATTCTGCTTCTCAGATTCCAGCTTCATCAGTGATCTTTACTCCTTAAAGAAAATTCTAAGTGAGCCTGAGAGCAGCTGTAGCTGCTAACCCATTCTCTTTATGCATATTTCATGACTGAGAAGTAAAATGGAGAAAGGGGTGGGAAATCACACAAAAAAGAAAGAAGAAAAAAGTAACGTGATTGTTTTCTTTTTCCTGTCTTCAGGTGACAGAAGAAGTTCAGCGGATATTAAAAAGATGCAGTTATGAATTTGTGTGCAGGGGTAAAGTCAGTGTAAAGGGAAAAGGTGAAATGTTGACCTATTTCCTGGAAGGAAAGGCTGATGGAAATAATTCCCAAACACGGTCTTTAAACTTAGAGCGGAAAATGTACCCTTACGGGAGAGCAAACATTCAAACAAAACTGGGCACCAGCTGTCCATCGGTGTCCTCAGCTGCTAGCTTTACTGTAAAACCTGGTCTTGGAGCAGGTCAAGCATCTGCCACTCACACAAACCAAACACTGCATTATCTTCCTTCTGTGCCAGCTGTGAAGGAGGCATAGAACAAAGGAGATTTGGTTGTGCCACTTGCAGTGAACTTGGAGAGCAATGGTTGCCTGAATTTTTACTAAGAAGTCAGAGGTCATAGGCCATGTCATTAACCAAGGACCACTACAACCCAACCAAAGAGAACTTGGGGACTGTGTAATGAACTCTTGGGATGGAACATATAAGGGCTAGCAATTCTGTTATGAAAAGTCAAAACGGGATTTTCTGGAAATGAGGAATATTTTCTTGGCATTTTTAAACAGTAAATGAAAAAAATTAGATAAATGTGCAAGCAATTATTTATGTGTGTGTGTGTGTGTATATATATATGTTTTTATCTATATATACACACATACAAACAGTTCTGTGTAGACTTAATAGAGATTTATAGAGATTAATATAAAAATGTGTATTTATTTACACATCCACCTGCAGTGACATAGCAAAGAGATTTCTCTTTCTGTCATAGCCAGAATTGTTGGGCCTGGGATTAGCAAAGCTGCATTTAACCATGGAATGTGGGATGCCTGGAGATTCTCCAGGGCTACAGCAAGACTTTGAGAAACTGTGCTCCCAGGGCATGAATTTATGCAATGAGAACAGTGTTTACTGTGTCATCAATGGCAGATTAATGAAGACTGGATTCAGCTAATTACAGAACCCTACATATTTTTTTAAGTTCTCCTTGCATGCTCCAAGAACTTCCAAAAACTTTCAGTCAAACCATTACACCAGGATATAAAGTAGATAAACCACAGAGCTTAAAGTTTAGGCAAAAAAACAATATATATTCTTTCCATAATAAAAAAAAATACAAGAGTGGTAGAGCATAGAATTTGCTGCCTCTTTGTAGGTCATTTGACTCTCTGCAAGATAGAGGAGCCACCCTGCAAGCACAGCAATATGCTTATGCAATATAGAAACATTCCTGTATGTACAGTACTGATTTTACTGAGGAGGAGAAGGATGGTATTATTTCAGGCTTTTAGAAATAGCACAAGTCCTGTGGCTCAAGTCCAGGATTTACCATTCTAAACAGCTCAAAGAATAGTCCTGTACTGGTGACAAACATGCTGTTGCTAGTTTTGTGACATTTGTATGTTTGCCAACACAGTTTTATATATTAATTTATTTTTAAATTTATGCCACAGTTTTATTATACCTTGATTCTATCCAGACTCACTCTTCAAAGCGGTACAATTATAGAAAGCTATAATTCTGAGAAACAAGCACAGTCAAACTTTGCCAAATGAGGAGCACTGGTAAATATGCCAGGAGAGAAAGGCCTGCTCTTAATCTGCATAAAAAGGAATATATGGTGGCTGCTTTTTTTCCTCTACTGCTGCCCATATCATAATGTTTATGTTTTCACACTGAAATAATGATCTGGATCTGAAATGTGGAGTGCAACTCCATAGTCAAAGGGGGAGCAGTTGAAGGTCGTCCTGCTGAGGGACATGTACTCCATGGACATGTGCCATACTGTCCTGACAGGGAGTCACAGGCTAACTAACCTTGGTTGCTTTCAAAAGAGAAGTAAAACTTTACATTGTCTAAAAAAGATGCAAAACTTCCTTTGAATAAGCAAAACAGTCCAACCCCCTCAAAAAAAAAAAAATCAAAAACCAACAACAACAAAAGACAAAAAAAACCCAAAGAAATAAAAACAACCCACAAAACTAAAAATCCCACTCTAGAATGCAGAAGTTGTATAGATCATACAACAGAAAATTTTCATGTATGAGGTGTCACACTTGCCTTTGGTGGGCCTATGTTGTTACAGATTCCAGTGAAAAGAAGGTTCTGAGAGAGTCCCCTCATCAGCTTTTTTTGATTTTTATTTTTTTTATTACTTTGGAGCAGAATTTTTTTGTGTTAAAAGTATATGACAGCACTATGTCAGTAGATGCAAATGGTTAAAGAAATATTGCAGGAATTTCTGTTCTCCACATCAGGATACTGTGGGACTCCAGTGTTTTTCAGCAGAGTTTTAATTTTCATGTATCCTGTCTGTGAGGTGCTTCACTACAAAGCTGGCAAAGTTAGTTAGTATTATGATTAAAGTGACTATAAAAACCTGAGAACTGCTTCCTAATTGTACTGCATAAGTAATATGCACCCTGATTGAGCTGAACAAAGTCACTGTATTTCTTTATCTCCCTAAGAGCTACCCAGTTCACAGATATTCCTCTAGAATAATTTATTTCTGGGTTTGAGACATTCAAATCTTTAAAAAATATGCATGTAGAGAATACAGATTTAAAATAACAAATATTTACATAACTAAACTGAATAAGTGATATTCTTGCAAAGCACACTGCATAGTTATGTTCTCTAACAGATTTATAAGAACTAAATCATCACACGGGTAAGTTAAATATTTAACCAAGTTGAAAAGCATTATGTGCAATAGCATTAATCACTCAGTTCCACTCTCAAAGAGCCCATGCTACACAATATTTTAATTCAGTGAATTTGGTATCATTTCACTGATAATAAAAAAAATAAAAGCATCTTCAGATCCTAGCCATAGATCTGGGAGTATGTGAACACATCTACCAAACACACCTGTTGGCCCACCCAAAAGCTTTCAGTGAAATTACTTATTTGTTACTTTTTTTATTAGGCTCAAGATATAGGCATCTTGCCATGGTTTCTTTGATCTTTGACTAGGTGGACAGTGAGCACAAATGAATTGTCCTCCCTGCTGATATTTTTGTGACTGCTTTCCTTCCCAGACCCATTCCCAGCCTGGTAATGTCAGTGGAAGATCATGTAGCAAGGTAAATTTAGATTATTCATGTCAACATTTAAAATTATTAGCAGGTGATAATTACTTAGAATTGGTCCAAAGATTTTCAAAGCTGATCCTCTTTTCCAACAGCCAGATTAGGCATGTGACTTTTGTAAGAATGTTTTCCATGTTGAATGGAAAGGACCAGACAGGCACAGTCCATCATCAGTTTCTCATTCTGCACTTTCGGAGGAGGTCTCTGCCTTCCCAGAGCAGGTTGAGTGGACCAGGATGGCTTCTTGGTACTGCAGGCAAGCTGGTGTGCATGTCCTAGCTTACAGAATCAATGATGGCATATTTGGACTCAGTTTCCAAACTTTAAGTCATAGATTTATAGAAAGCTTTGGGTTGGAATGGAACTTAAAGATCATCTAGTTCCAATCCTGTTGCCATAGGCAGGGACACCTTCCAATAGACCAGGTTAATATCATTCTCATTACGTTCATTATCATTAACATCATTATCTTATCATTAATATCTTTTGTATTTTTATTATGGTTGTTGTTGCTGGTTAAACCATGGGGAAAAACTATATATTACCTTGTAGTCCTGGACTGAGCAGTTCAAATTATGAGGAAAGTTCAGCTAAGGCACAAATGAGTCAAATACAATGTAAAAATGATAGTCAGGATTCAGCAGCCATTTCAACAATGAAAGCTAAGTGCCCACTGAAATCATAATAAAATGAAGCTGTGCTCTTAACTTTATGCTTTCCCTCCCTCTTCATATAGTTTTTCCCCATTTTCCTGTTCTGTCTACATTTGTTTAATTTCAGCTCTTGTGTGACAGTTTTAATTAACATATTTAATCTCTTAGCTCTTCTGCATTCTTTGACACATTTAATAAGTTTTATACATGGAAAGAGGGGAAATATACATGGAAGTAATACTTCTGAAAACATCATAAATGCACATTTTCTGACAAATTAGAGAAGATTGTAAGAAAAATTTTTATTGGCAATTGTTCTAAGATGGTATGTGGCCCACTCCAATATTCCTGAAAATCATCAGAAGGATTTCCCTGGATTTCTGTGGGATTAGTGTTGTGTCCATCTTATTGCATGCAGTTGTGTTTCCTGTCTTGCATATATTAATTTTCTGGTCTTGCCTGGGTAACCTTGCTGTAGCCCCACAGCAACCAAAACTCCCTAGTATTCATCTGAGGATAGTAACTTGTTGATCTGTGGGCAGAATAGCTTCCTGTACTTCTGTTCACTGTTTTGTGCAGCTGTTAGCTTGAAACAATTAACAGATAGAAGTGCTACAACAAAGCGATGCCATTTTGGCATGTCAATGTCTGTCAATAGCAAGCACAATATTTCACATCTGTTTGCATGTTTTCTCTTTCAGATAATAGGAATAATTTAAGTCTTTCATTCTCTATATAAGCATATAAGTGTCAGAGATCTTTAGTCTTGAGAGCTAATTTCTAAGTGTTCCTATACTACCTTTATCTTCAAATGATTTTTAAATTATTTTTCTCTGCTGAGATTGTAAACTGACATTCCATTGGATTACTGGCTAGATATTTCCAAACATATTCCATTTACATTGACTAGAAATCTATTTTACCCAGCCTGTAAAATGCATAGTTTTTTGTAGCTGCTTTGCACTGTGGCTAGTGACACTCCCTTATCTTCACCAAACAAACAGAAATTTTCCCTTGCTTTCCCTAGGTGAGACTGAGGGCCAGAAGCTTCAGCTTGTTAGGGCTGAGTCTGCATCCCCTAATGTATCCACAAGGCCTGCAGCAATCACCAGTTTAGTATGCTTGTAAAGGTCAGGAGCTGAGCTTCTGTAGGCCAAGTTCTGCTTTGGGTTATAGCGATGTCTCATGTCAATACTGAACTGAATATTTTACAACACTGTAACCAAGAGTAGGTCATGCACCGAAATCTCTTTCACACTGTCGCCTGTAATTTATCTGTCAGGCAAAATAAAGTAGTTGGGTGTCACTGTTTGAAGGGAAACAGTACGACCTGTGCCATTTCAGTGCTTTGAAGAGTCTGAACACATTAGTAAGTAGCATGAATCATTTTCCTGTGTTGGATTCCTGCTTGTAGCAGAAAAATGCATTTTCTTTACATTAGCAAGTCCAGATTCTGTATGTGTTCTGCCCAGGCAGGAGGACTATTTAGCCATAATATTCTTTCAAGTTAGAGTTTTGTATTACAGTGAAAACCAACATTTTTTTAATTTGTGATAAACCTGTATTATAATG